CATTGATATTTTGCAACAGATTTTCAAATTTATTGTGAGTAAAGTTTAATGAAAAAAAAATTATAGCATTCAGAGGTCTGCGAGAAAAATTTATGGTAAACATTGAGACTATGCAGCTCAGACATGGAACCTATAACATGTAGTTTTCTATTCTCTATGTAAAACTGATCAAAAACTGTATTAAATACTCATTTACATTGTAAATAAAATGATTATTATTTTACTTGCGTATTTTGTACATTTTTATGCATGAAAAACATGCTATATTGCTTAGTGGAGTAAGTCTTTTTATGTAGATATTACTGCGCTGTGTGATTAGGTCACGTAATGACCTATGACCTTCGAAAAACTTCATACAGGTATGAAGATATTTGCTCTCTGCATGTTTATATAATAGAGAGATACCACAAATGTATATATTTGTTGTTGCTGTGAAGGGCTTGATGGAGATTATATGGACAAAGAGTATGATAATATTGTTATAAATAGAAATTTGTTTTCTCTTGGATTGGTGTGATTAAGAGTTTATCTGGGATTTAACTTTTGGGTCTGTGGAGTCGGAGGATTCCACTTTTGTTTCTAAGATTAATTTCTCTTCAAGAATGAAGGCATATGGAAATCTGCATGGGCTAAAACTGATAAATCAAGAAACATTTCAAAATGCTTTTAAAAAAAGTTCTCTTATATAACTTGCAAAATCATTTTTCACCCTTGAATATTAGCAGAAAAAAGGAGAGAAAAACAGAACAAAAAAAAAAAAATTAGAGAAAAAACATGCCTGTTTGGAATTTGAAATTATAAATGATGCCAAGCAGTGTTGGACAGACACTGCTTTTGGTTCTCTAACATGAAAGAAGTTTTAAATTGGTTAAGATGATGAATATGTAGATATTAACCTCATTTCAAAATTGTACCTGTTAATTGCTGCAAAAGCTCATAAAGAGAAATAGATGTTTCAGATCTCCTTAAGGGGTTACTACAAAACACATGCATCATACTTAGGTTTTCCATTAATGAGTCAATTTCTAATGAGATGGAAGTTTTTCCTTTATAGGTCCTGTTCATAGTTTAAAATATGCTTCTCAACTTTATAGATTAAAAGTTGATAGATTAATTTGCATAAAAACAATTTCTGGAGTTTGAAAGTTTGTCATTCTTAATATATTGACAAAGGTTATGACCCAAGATTAGGTGTGAAAGCAAAGTCATATTTGTAAATCATTAATGCAAGTTCTCTGAATTTTTGTGGAACAATGAAATTCATGTTGTGAATGTTAAAATAATTTGATGACATGAAAGCATTTTATATGTTACAATAATGGTGCAATGGATATTTTATCATATATCCAATTTTCTTGTGTCTTTAACATTTTCTAAACTGTCTGTAATGTACTTTGGGAATGATTTATATGAGTGCAATAAAAATGTGTTTAGGTATAATTTACAGATGAATCATCTGAATGATGAGAAAGCTGATTGTACACTGGTTCTCTTAGCTGGTGGTTATAGTCCTTGTGTGTCAGAAAACAACAGGTACCGGGTACATTGGTTTTGAGGTATCCCAGGAATAGTTTGTGCAATCCTTCACAGTTTGTTTAAAAATATTTGACTTTGTGGATGCAGATAAATGATCCCCTGTCTTTTTCAAGAAACAAAAGGCTTCTTCAGAAACTGAAATGACCCTCTGCAGCAATAGACTATAGAGTTCAGACAGAATTGCCCTCTATGGCAATCAGTTAAACTACTCTAGTATATATGCTTTAGAAAGTATTACCCTCTTCATTTCATATCTAGACTATACAGATAAGAAGTAGTGGTCATCATTTAAACTATAATATAGTTAACGGTCATATGTATCTATCAAATAGACTGTAGAGTTAAGGAGGAATGGTCCTCTGCAGCAAACTATTAAGGAGGAATGACCCTCTGCAGCTTTCAGATAGACTACAAAGTTAAGGAGGAAAGGCCCTCTGCAGCTATCAGATAAGACTATAAAGTTAAGGAGGAATGAACCTCTGCTGCTATCAGATAAGACTATAAAGTTAAGAAGGAATGGTCCTTTCTGCAGCTATCAGATATTAAGGATGTGATAATGGCCCTCTGCAGCTATCAGTCAGACTAAAGAGTTAGAGGAATGGTTCTCTGCAGCAATTAGTTCAAATGAAATAGTTAAGGTGGAAAAGTTTTTTGCAGGAATCAGTTTGCTATTTAGTTAAGGAGGAATGGTCCTCTACAGCAATCAGTTAGACTTTAGAGTTGAGGCTTATGGTCTTCAGCAGCAGTCAATTAGACTATAGAGTTCAGGAGAAATGGCCCTCTGCAGCAGTCAGTTTAAACTGTATAGTAAGGAGGAATGGTATAGCAATTATCAGATGGACTATAGAGTTAAGGAGGAATGGTCCTCTACAGCAATCAATTAGACTACAAAGTTAAGGAGGGATGGCCCTCTACGGCAATCAGAATATACAGTTAAGGAGAGATGGCAATCAGTTACCCCGTAGAGTTAAGGATGTATGGCCCTCTGCAGAAATCATCTAGACTATACAGTTAAGGAACAATAACCCTTTACTAAGAGAGGTATCTCTTACATTGACAAATGTTTCCTACATAAAATTTTCATTTCAATGATTTGATAAAATTTTGTTCTGTATGGTATACAAAATTCACTTGAATTTTTTTTATCTCAGTCTTTTGTCAGAAAATTTTCTTGGATAGAAAAGTTTCATTTATTAGTGAGCAAAGGGCCATTTCATTTTCCCTAAAACTATTCTTTTAATTAAAATATACAGTAAAACATGCTTATAATGAATTGACACTTACAGCAATGTGATTTTAATTCCCCTTGGCTTTAAAATATATTATGAACTTAACAGATATAATGAATTACTTTTTAAACAAAATTGTCCATCCCTTGCACTTTGCTATAAGCATGTTTTACTGTATTATATTTAGTCATTACTGGATTTGCTGTAACTGAAGAGATGGATGATGGTTTAATTACTGCAGGTCTGAATTGGAAATTTGGTCGATATTAGTTCGTGTAATATGATAATCATCATGTTGCAGACTGAGTAAAAAGTTGACAGTTAAAAACAAGCAATATAACAATAAGAAAGTCTAAATAGACATAATAATATTGCACTATTACATGTAATCAGACACACGTCTGTAAATATCGTAACAAGCACAGGTGTTTTATGAAGTTAATAGGTGCTTAAAGCACACAGATGTGCATCCTGTTTCAAGATGTAACAAAAAAAAAATTATTTTTGTTGGAAAAGTACTGTCCACTACAATTAAGACATTGGGAATATAGTAAGAATGTAAAAATATATTGTCAAATGGACACATAGATCTATATCATTAACTTCCTTACAGGGTACTTGCTTCCTTACAGAGTACATGTACGCTATTGAGGTACCGACAGAGAAAATATAAAATGTGATTGGGATAAAGTTAAGGGTTCTAGAGATAAACAAAACAGTTGCTGACAATTTATATCAGTTAGAGCACTTTAATTGTTTTTTTACAATACAACCCACGCATCTTTATAGGCGATGATTAACATATGAAAAAATCTGTTTTGTTTATTACGTACAGCATAACAAAATTTTTAAGAAGTATAAATTGTGAAGTAAGAATACTGTTAACCCACTTCTGGTTTTAATGACCAATCGTGTGTTTGACCAATGACTGTTTGAATCTTATTTTTCTTCTTCCAAATGAAAAATTTTTGGTTCATGTCATTAGTTAAAGGTCTTCATGAAATTGACATTTTTATGTATAAAAATGTTTGCCAAAAGATAAATGTTTAAAAATATATTGGAATTATTCAAAGATGTCAAAGTTTATGTGAAATAAGTTCACTTTTCCTTGATATTCAGTATGTGTAAATTTGTGGTTCCTGTGATGATTAATGTCCTTCGTGGGTTTCTACACTGTAACATTGATTTCTGATCACTCTGTTGTATGTTTGAATTAATTGTTCAGCTATTTGCACTTCAACTGCTCAACAAAAGGCTGATAATAGAATTAAATCTATGTTAACTATGGTGTTTCACTTTCATTAGAACATTCTGCTTTGGTCCATTTTCTAGAGCAGATGAATTTCAATTCAAATTTGGTGAATTAAGGAGCAAAATAAGAAACTTTTTTAAAGACTGGAAGGTAAAATGGATTGGAAAGAATTAACATATGTAATGAAATCATGGACAGTTCTAAAAAATTCTAAATGACATGCTCTTGAAGCAAAGAAATGAGACACAAGTCACGTTTAGATCTGCAAACCAACTACAAATTCTAGGTCAACAGTAACCACTGTTATTTAAAATACTGCATTCTTAATCCAGTGATGATGGTCATAGTAGGTCAACAACATGTCAAATGTGTTTTATTTACTTACTGCAAGTGGAAGGATAGAATGATTATTGTAAGGCATTCATGTCTGCTGTTCATGCAGTGAATAAAACATTTTTAAAACATAAAACAAAGGTGAAGGTCCTACATACAATGTGTAATGTAATTATCAGAATAGGTTGCCCATACATGTGTATTGTCATTTTCAATGTTAAAGTTCAAGGCCAACATGAGTGGCAATATAGAACATTTTATCCTGATTTACCAGTGTATGAAGTTAGAAAGGTAGATGATAGTTGAAAAAAGTCATATACAACATGATAATCAAAAAAGGTCCTATACAACAGAGGTAAATGCTTCATCTGCCAATTAATTCAATGTCAAGGCTGATAATAATACAAAGATGTCTTGTTCTGAATGAACTATGTGAAATTGTAAGACATTTTTAACCTTAATTAAGTTAGATTGACTAATTTTGCTTGCAATTCTGCCAAACATTTTGAGCGTAAGAAATAGCAGTGGTATTTTAATAACATTATGTATTCAAATGGACATCTGTTTGCCTGTTGACATTATATAAGTACAAATTACAAGTGCCTTAATTATAATGCTGAAAATTTAATGTAATGTATTCTTTATTGTAGGTTTAGTCAAAGTCCAAGCAATATATTTTCATGATGCTGTTTGGACAAGTTTACCACAAAGTGTTACATCTCAGGAAAACTTGCCTTGTAGAGGGAAAGTCAGATTGTCCGTGTTTCTCTCTAGGAACCATTTAATATCATCATAGAGAAGAATACTAGGCCAAATTCATGCTGTATTCTCTGACTATAGGTATGCATATATACCACAATTTACTACACAAGAAATTAGTTTCTCCTATTGTATATAAATCATTATACACTGCTTAATAATCATTTGTCTTGTCTGTACTCTGTGTGAAGGAGATTCAGTAATGAAAAATTCAAATTTTTCGTGTTTAAAATTCACACCAGCATATATAGATCTGACATGAAAAACCACTGTGGTTTCTTATTAATTAAATGTGTGGGAAGTAAAATTTTAGATGAAGATGCATGATTAATTATGATACTGCAAACTGCCTGACACTTTATCAGTATTCATACAACAACATTTAATGTCTTAGGGAAAGAAAATACATTTCCATCTTAATGATACTGGAATTCCATACCTCGAACACACAGAGCGATAAAAATCTTTAAGGGTACACAATAAGTTGGGTGTCTTAGATTTCATCATTTTACATTCATTTAATATTTTTTTGTGTAGCTATTGAATTTTAATAGATTACGTGGGGAGAAATGCATAGAAAAACTTCTCAATAGAAGTGACTCTTCCCTCGACCCAGGACGGAGTGACAAAGGCACTGCCATGTTTTTTGTTCAACTTGGGGTATCATCACTGCTGAGAGATATAATCACATCAAGACATTATGCAGTATAGTACAATTTCTGTCACTGAGCTACATAATGAAAGGCAAATTTGGTCAATTATTTTATTTCCACCCCTCTCAATTGTCGGAATTCGACTTTTGAGTAGATTTACTTTTGTCCTTGATTGAGAAGTGAACAATTTCTCTTTGCCTGGTTTGTTTGACATATGTTGTCATAGCCTGTTAACACATTAAAAATACACTTTTATTTCAATTCTTTTGTCAAGATAAAGGAAAACTGAAGTATTTAAATACACTAACTAAATTAGGCATCCAGTTAACAAGTGGCCTGACTCCAGCATTGAACAATGCTTTCAAGCATTCAAACTAATTTTTGAAATACAATTATAGATAATAATAGGGTTGTCTGGTTTGAAAATTTTATTTAATTACTGTGAAACTGTGAATTTAGTAATAACATGGACCACACATATCAAACTTCAGTCATATTTTAACAATGTGCATTTCAGGTCAATTTCATTGGTGGTATTTTGTGATCTGTGGTTCATTTTGAGTTTCTGTAAACACTGAGCTAGAGAACGTTGATAGATACTAAGCAGTTAAATGCTGTTTAGTATCTCCTAACTGGACATGCCTACTGAAAAGCCTATCTTTCTCTACTAAATGCATTTGTTTTAATAAATGTTAATCAAAGCTTTGAACAATTATAATGCATATACAAAGATATATGAAATTAATTTTATTATGCCCTGCCATGAATATGGTTAGGACATATAGTGTTTGTCATGTCTCTCTTTTGCCCTTTTGTCTTTCTGTCCTTCTATCCTTCAATCTGTCAACACTGATACATATTGGTGAGAGATGTTCAACTGTGGCATTATTTTCTGACCTTGACCTTCCCTATAATCTTGACCTCGTTATAACTTATTTTGCATGAAGAATGTACTCAAAATATTTTCATAAAAACTCATACACTGATTCATATTGGTGGAGACTATAAGACTATGTCATAATTTTCTGACCTTGACCTTCACTTTGACCTTGACCACAATAGTTGTCACTGTATAAAATAAACTGTTCAAGATATTTTCATCAAACTTAATACAAAGATACAAATTAGTAAGAGCTATTCAACTATATAATTTGCCAAACTTGACATTTTCCATGACCTTGACCTTACTTTTCCATATTTTGCAGAGAATTTTATCAAAGAAACTATTCAAAATATTTTCATCAATTTCATACAATGATACAAATTGATTACAGCTATTCAACTGTGTCAAATTATTCTGATTTTCACTTTCTACATGATTTTGACTTTCCACATGACCTTGACCTCTCTGTTATTTGCTGTTTTGCAATTTGCACAGTTTCAAAAAAAAAAAACTGTTCATAATATTTTCAACAAACTTCATACATTAATACAAATTGGTGAAAGCTATTCAACTCTGTTTTAATTTTCTATCCTTGACATTCCTTATGACTTCGACCTTTCCATTACCTTGAACATACTTTTTGAAGATTTTTTTTTAAACCAAACTTCATTTACTAAGGTACATATAGGTGAAAGCTATTCAACTGTGTCATTATTTTCTTACTTGGACCTTTTTTATGGCCCTGACCTCAACATTCCTTCATTTTGCAGTTATCTTGAAGTTTTAGTTTAAAAAAAAGTGTTCAAGATATTTTCATCAAACTTTGTGTACTGATGGTAAAATGGTGAGAGCAATTCAAGTTTTTAAATCATTTTTGATGTTGACCTTCCTTATTGCCTGAAATTTCACATTTTTTCCCCATTTTGCTCTTGATTATTTGGTTATATCTTATTTCCATAAAGGATGACTTCAAAAACTCTCTCTGTCTCTCTCTCTCTCTATATATATATAATAGTTTCAAAGAGAATTTCAGTCAAGGAACTCTTAATATCTTGTGTTCATTTAATTTTCTTGTGATCATTACTTGTATGATATGAGTAATGACCATTTTTATTTTCCTTTCTACACTTCATAATGATTTAGATGATATCTGTATTTAAGTTTGAGCTTTAGACACTTTTCTGAGGTCGTATGTTTTCAATGATTATGTGACAAAGAGGCTTTTAGTGAAGTTGGTACATATATTTATATACCTTAAAGTGTGAGGATCAGAAACTTCATTCTCCCTCACTCTGTCACAATAACTAGGTTTAAGTGTGTCTATTCGATATTTCTTTGATGTTAGATAAGTCCAGTTTAAAAGAACTTAATAATTTTTATTACTTTTATATATTTATGTATCAAATTACACTTAGAAATAATGAATATTTTAGTACATGTGTTCTTAGTAGCAGTTAATGTATTGGATCTGATGATCTGAAGTTCTGATAGATTTTTTTAAAGACTGCACAGTGTGTGAAATTTGTTTTATAATCATTTTAAAGTACATTTTTATAGTTAAAAATTTTTCATACAATTGAAACAATTCCTGAAGGGTAAATGTGAAAATGCACTGTTTTCTGTCTGTGGAAGATATTATACAACAATTAATGGCTGTTTTTTGAGGTCAATACAATGATTTAACTACTTTGAGGGTTTGCTAAACCATCCCATTGACTGGAACCCCCCCCCCCCCCCCAATAATTGTTTTATCATATGATTAAATGATACAAACTCATTTAGCAAGTGAGAAAATCGGGATTGCAATAAACATTACCAGTTGTTTTAATTTGGAATTTCTTGATATATTTTTGGTTGTATGTAGAAAAAAATAAATGTTATGTTCATCTGGAAGTTGGGTACTGATGAAAAAAACTTTTCATAACCAATTGATCAAATCTGGAAGTTCCCGATCTATTTTTAGTCCAATGTAGAGAAAATGTAGAGAAAAATAAATGTTAATTTACACCTGGAAGGTCTTGACTTAGTATAGAGAACTAGGAATTTTTCAATCATATGTAACAACATTTTTAACAATGCAAGGTCAACTGGACAAATCCAAGATGATTATTAGAAAAAGTATGAAGTTTTTGTCTGCCTCATAATTTGTTCCAGTAAGGTGTCAAAGGTTGCTATGGTCTCACTGATTGTCATGACCTTAACCCAAGGACATTGACCAGAAAGTTAGGAATTCTCATATTGATCTCATACTGATGTATTTATATATTTTATTGCACTTGTATATCTCCATACTTATATCTTAGAGGTTTATTACATTGTAGCTGCATTTGCTCAAAGTCCTGATATGCTTTGAGTTGAAGAGTTGCTTCCCTTAGACCACAAACTTGACATAACGTTCATGTGCTTCCCTAGGGCAGACTGTATTCAAGAGGTTAAGTGTTAAGCTACTTTATCAGTTAATCTTTATCCACTTGACTTGTAAAATGGTCACAAGTTTCTTGAAGTTTCTTTTCTGTATCTGTTGAGTATTTTTCAAGGATTAAAAACATTCAATAACAACACCTTAAGGGAGAGAAGAGTTAATTTCATTTACCAAGAATGAATCAAATGTTGTAAATGCATCCACACAGCATCATTTTCTTGCTGTGTAGTTAATATGGTTATCTCAACCATAGCATCCAAACTCTAAGTATAGTTCTCACACAAAAATTCCTCTGATGTGTTGAAAAATCTCAAGGTTATCTAAAACAATGCTGACCCAGTTTCTGTCCTATCAATGTAAGAGTACCTTCTTCTGAAGTTATTACTGTGAGCGAAAATAATGTTACGTAACATGCACTTTCATGCAAGAAAACAAACATCATAGCAGAAAAGATACAGAGTAATAAATTGCAAGCTTGTTGATCCATGAGGAATCTTGCTATTGTACGTGAGATCCAATTTTCCTTTTAGTGAGCAAGGCTTTGACAACCTGCTGAGAAGGTGTGCAAGTGGAGAATCGGAGAAACTGAATATAATGTCAACAAATTAATTGTCAAGTAAAACAAGATAACAGAGACGCCCCTATTGTGTCAGCTGATTGATGGTGGGGGGATCCGGGATTCTTTTCAATCGGCACTCTTTGTGGAAATGCAAATGAAGAATCTATAAGCATTCCAAACTGGGATACACAACAATTGTTACCGATGATGGAATTTTATAGAGATTAATTGCAAGCTGTAAAATGTACAGTGTGAACAGAGAGAAAATATTTAACATAATTACAAAATAGTCCCTTTTTATTATTTTTTCTTCTTTTTTTTGGTGGGAGGAGGGGTAGATTGAATGAAATACCTTTTTAATTAATGTATGGAGCCCTAGCTAAAAATAAACATTTAAAAGTGAAGTTGAATTTGTCCTTTGTTCTGTTGGAATGACATTTCTTGTGAATGAACTTCAGATTTCCTGAGGCTGATTTATACTTAGTCAAACACACAAGGATATATCATTGTAACGAATTATTACCAAAGGTCAGGCCACTTCTTACCTCTGACATTCAGAATTTT